GGGTGCCAGTGCTATAGGGATGAAGCTGTACTGGGAATTTTTTTAACAATGATCCCTCCTGGGGACAGATCTCTGCTTCCTCCTGAGACAAACAGCTTTGTGGCTTTTTCTGGTGATGTGTTCAGGAACGGACAGGTGAGACCAGAAATGGTTCTTGGGATGTGTGCAAACTCCTCAAATGCCGATTTTCTTCCAGAAAAGTGGAGACTATGAGTTATACAAAGAGCTGCAACCCCAGTCAATGCAATACGTGTAACTGGCATGACGAGCTCACTCAACAAGCTCACGTGAGCAGCTCACAATCAGTTTTGAAATACTCCAAAGGGTGAGATAAAGGCAAAATCTTTGCTTTCTCTTGCTTATTATAGCTCTTCTGCCCATATTTTCCTCGTCCACAGCCAGTCAGCAGGCAGGAGGGAGGGGCAAAGCCTGTTTAAAAGGTTTTGCAAGGGGTTGCAACCTCTCCTTGCCTGCGGCAGCTGGGAGAAGGCCACACATGGCCACCTACCTGGAGCTGCCCACCTGCGCGAGGATGCCCATCCTGGGACTGGGGACCTGGCAGGTACTTTCTGGAGCTGGGGACCTCTCCTTGTGTCTCTGGTCACGCAGGTGACACCAGGGAACTGCTGAGAATAGCAGTAGATTTTTACAGCAATCTCCTTTTCAGGTCAGGAAAATGCAGCAAATCCTCTATGCAGAATTTTTTGCCTTTTGAAATATTTTAGGTATTGCAGGTATTTACACCTGTCCTTCAGGAAATGTTTTAAGTGAGCAGGTAGTGCTCACTTAGTGCAGGTAGTGAGCAGGTAAAATGAGATTTTTCTTAACTATGGAAAAAAAATACATACTACAAAAGTAAAAGCTGCCTAACTTGGGGTTGTGGGGTTTTTGTTTAGTTTTTGGGGGGTTTTGTTTGCTTTTGGCACTTGGTAGTAACATCCCAGCATGTTGTGTGAGTGTCATCATTGACGAGTGCATGTAGATAATAGGAACTTAAGTGGCAATCAGTGGATTTGGAAGTGGGAATTTATATTAACTCTTTAGAGACTTTTATATTAACTCCTTAGAGACTGAAAAGAACTCATTTGTTTGGCAGCAGATGGCACTGAACTCATAGCACTTGGCAGGAAAATAGTTTGGGTAGGTCTTTACCTGCAAATGTTTTATAATGGACTTTGGTAGGAAAGAAGATTGAAGGATATACTGTACAATAAATGTAAAAGGAGTCTGGAAATTTTAAGAAAGTGAGTTTCTGAAGAAAAAAAGGAAAAAAAAAAAAAAGTGGGTTGTCCCCTGGATTTGAGACTGGAAATTAAAAATGTTGACTTGCAACACTGTCCAGTCAGCATAAAAGTATCTTAAATTATTCTTGCTATATTTTTTGGTCAGCTGCTGCTAATCATCACATAATTTATGCACAAACGGGGCTGAGTTTGTTTAACCCTTTCAGTCTTGATTGGTCTGATGACAAAAAAAAAAAAAACACAGAAAAGCTGAAAGTGATTAAGTAGGCTTTAAAAAAAACAAAGTGTGCCTTGTGTACGTGGGGCCTCTTAGGGCACCGATGCCAGGATGGATGAGCTCTCTGAAGGAACCTGTTAGGACTAAACAGAAGGAAAATTTTGGACACATGATCCCTGTCATCACAGAAATCTCTTGTGTTAATGCAGTGCAAACATGGGCCAAACCCACTGTGGTTACTTAATCAAAGCTATTTGATCTCAAGGATCTCAACTCCCTGTGTTTTGGTGGGGCAGTGGGGGCCTCTCCTTTACCCAGCCACTCTGACCTGAGGTCCTGGTCAATGAGCACCATGTAAAATGAAGCAAGGGATTATTTTTTTCTGAAAAAAAAATCTCACATTACAGAGTTTTATGTAACCACGGGGTATAATATCACCTTTGCTCTCCACTTACTCCTCCTCCACTCTTTACAGTGAGGGTGACAGAGCCCTGGAACAGGCTGCCCAGAGAGGTTGTGGAGTCTCCATCTCTGGAGATGTTCAAAACCCGCTTGGACACTTTCCTCATTTAGGTTCCTGCTCTGGCAGGGGGATTGGACTGGATGATCTTTCGAGGTCCCTTCCAGTCCCCAACATTCTGTGAGTCTGTGAAAAGCGAGTCAGAGTCTTTACTGGGTTGGTTTTTTCCCTGAGATGAGGAACTCTATAACACCCGGTGTTTGGCCGGTGTTACCGTTAGCCTGGTGCCCAGGGAGCTGCAGTGTTCACATGTAGGGTGGGGTGGGATGGAGAAAGAGACTCCAAAAAAGAAAACTTATAAAATTTTAAACTGGTTATTTGGTTGTGTGTAGCCTTGTGGGGAAAAAAAACCCGCTGTAGTTTCTATGTTTTTGGGTTTTTTTTTAATTTAGGTGAACCAACCAAGGACTCTCTGATTGGAAACACTTGGAGAAGTAAAATCATTTAAAATCAAAAAAAAAAAAAAGATGATGGGTGGGGATGTAAGGAAGTTAAGTGTAAGAGGTGGTTGTGGTTTTAAATCATGTTTCTGTTTGAAGTTCTATCTTCCAGAATCAATACCCAGTCATTAAACAACTCTTCACTATGTCCAAGCCAAAAATATGAAGTGATTTACCTTGCTATGAAACACCAGGTTGTGTATTTTACCCAGGAGGTGGCACTGTCCGTAGCGTTTTGGCCTCTCCTCACCTCCCCTGTCCTGTGCCAACAAATCCAGCTTGTTTGTGTGCAGGGCCAGGGAGCTTTCCGAAGGTGATTCGTTTCTTCATGTCACCAGTATCACATATTAACACTGCTCTTAATTTCTAGGTAAATTAGAACTTATTTCGAGATAGCATCTTGGCTGAATGTGAACGTTCAATCCTTAGAAAAGGGCAGATCAGCTCAGGGAACTCGTCAGTGACTCCCACAGCCAGTTCCAAAGGGCTCATTTTATTCCAGAAAACTAAACAAAAGCAAGATTCAAACTGGAACACCTCATTATTTGGGGGTTTAAAGTCTCCAGATTTGGAGAACAGCAAACTTTTTCTACTATTAATTACTGACTTCTCGTTTTGTTTCAGTCTCTCCGAGGAACAGCGAGAGATGCAGTGAAGTTTGCCATTGACGTTGGGTACCGCCACTTTGATTGTGCCTACCTGTACCAGAACGAGAGCGAGATCGGGGATGCGCTGCGAGAAAAAATTGAGGAGGGGATTGTGAGGAGAGAAGACCTCTTTATTGTCAGTAAGGTATGTCTTGGGATAACCTGTCTCTCAGGAGGAGAGACAAAGTCCCAACCTGGTCTGGGAATTAACTCCTCTCTGTCAGGGCAAAGCATTTTGAGGACGGAGGGAAGGAAGAGGTCAACTCTTGAAAAAAACAAAAAAAACCCCCCAAAAACTAAAAAATGGCTTGATTTGAGAGGGATTTTTTTGTAGTCCATATCCATTGTCAGCCACGGAGACAGGAACTGAGGCTGTGCTCTCAGTTGCCTCCGAGATAGGAAGCAGGACTATTGTATTCGTGGTCACTCCCGCTGCGCTGCCGGCTTCAGCCTGTTAATTCTCCTATTTTATGTTTTGTTTTGTTTTTTCCCCCAACAACAATAGTAGGAAAAATAAAGTAACTTCTATCTGCTGGGAGCTGGCAGGTTGATTTTCACCAGTTTTGCTTTTTTCCTTCATTTTGTTCAATTGTTGTATGAATGGTTGGAACCTTTAGAGTCCAAATTTTCATTTTACTTAACTGACAGTGTCGCAAATAAAATAAGCTGCACAAAAGTGGCACTTCCTCAAGATGAGAAGATGTGCCATACCATGAGCTGCCTCTGTGTCTGTGCTGTGTGTTTTCCCTGCCAGGGATGCTCTGTGGTCATGAACCTAGGAGAGCAGCTCCCAGGCTTTGTGTTACCCCCACAGCTGTGGTCCACATTCCACGAGCGATCCCTGGTGAAGGAGGCATGCCAGAGAACACTTGCTGCCCTCCAGCTGGATTATTTGGATCTCTACCTGATGCACTCTCCCATGGGATTCAAGGTATGGAGACTTTAACTCCTGGGAGCCTGTCTGTCAGAGCTCTGCCACTTTTTCCTTTGGGTCTGGACATGCTCTCAGTCCTAATTGTTAAACCTCATTAGGACATCATGACAAACCTCTGCATGGAGTGCCTTGGAGGAAAGGCAAGGTCGTGGCTGCTTCAGCTAGGTCTTGTCTAAAAATCACTTTATTTTACCTTACACAGCATTTCCATGTCAGGGATCAAATGACCATCCAGATCACATTCCTCTTAAAGCCTGGGATTTGGCTGTCATTTACTAATAGCTGTGAATTACTTAGTTCCTATTTTTCTCTTCTCTCTCTACCCCCAGGTTAAATAAATCCTTGTTTCCCCCATTGTGTTACATCCCTGGCCTTCCCCCAGCCTGACTGAGGCTCATAAAAGCATCTGCCCTTCCTCTGCCTGCAGGACAGATTCTCAAGCAGCAGATTTTCTTGGACATTACTTTGTTGGTACAGATGACTAGTTTCAGCCACCTCTTTCCCCAACACAGACGTAAGCCAGGATATCCAGCGTGTCTCCAGCTCCACTGGCTTGTAGAATTTCTTTAACTAGGTATGATTCAGCCTGCCTTAAACCCACTTTTCTTTTGTGATGGTAGGCAGGAGAGGAGCTATATCCTGCAGATGGAAACGGCATGATCATTCCCAGTGATACAGATTTTCTGGATACATGGGAGGTAAGTTCATTGACAGGCTGAAAAATTCTTGCTAGTTTGAAAAAAAAAACAGCCCAAAAACTTCAAGGCTTCCACTTTGGGAATTGTTTTGAGAGTATTTCCAATGTGAAGCATTCCAGTTTGCTGATTTCTCTGTACCCTAGGGTTCTTTTCTGTGTTATTTTGCCAAAATTGAAGTATTTTTGTATCTGCTGCCTACTAAAGTGTCTGGGTGGGCATGGCAAGAGAAAACCTTTGACTGTCTGTGTGCCCTGCAGTGGCTTAGACTGAAATACACCGTGATTTCAGTCCCCACACCACACTCCAGGCATTTATCAGTGGCTTTAGCCATGCTCAGCCCTGGTGGCACCCAAGCTGTCCAGAGCACAGCAAAGCCAACATACCTGTGCTAATGTACCCACAACATTCAGATTTTCCCCCTCTAGAAAGTACTGGAACTTGCCCAAAAAAGTCCTTCGTTAAAGCTGTATGTGTGAAAGAAAATAGGTGGTGGTGGTGGAACACCACACTGCTTATACTATACTGCCATAGCTAAGTGGTACATCTCCCTTGGGAAATTAATTACTGTTGATGATCAGGTGTCCTGCTCTGGCTCTCCCAAAACAGCTCCTCATTGAGGTCCAGACAACAAGATTTTTATTATGGGATAATTATTTTGTTAGCTAAGGAATTATATTTAAAAAGCCTGTTTTATTTATAAGCAGAAGGTCTACCTGGGGATAATATTTCAAAATAGTTGTATTCCACTGAAATAATAATAATAGTGTAGTAATTGTGAATCTGGAATAATGCTGTTATTTATTTGTGTGATGATACATGGTGTGAGAGTGAGTCTTTGATGAAGGTCCTACTGTTCAGTGTACTGTACTAACATCAGAATGGGTTTAAGCTGACAGAGGGGAGGTTTAGATTAGATATTAGGAAGAAGTTCTTCACTGTGAGGGTGGTCAGACACTGGAACAGGTTGCCCAAGGAAGTTGTGGCTGCTTCTCCCTGGAAGTGTTGAAGGCCAGGCTGGATGAGGCTTTGAGCAACCTGGTCTAGTGGAAGGTGTCCCTGCTGCTGGCAGGGGGATTGGGACTGGATGAGCTTTAAGGTCCCTTCCAACCCAAACCATTCTATGGTTCTATGATTTTTACCACTGAAGTCTTTGTGCAGGCATTTTTTCCATATTAAGAAAAAAAACCCCCAATCTTAATTCAACAGCAAGTCTGATTCTGAAGTGTTTCTAGGCTATGGAAGAGCTGGTGGATGCAGGAATGGTGAAGGCCATTGGAGTCTCCAACTTCAATCACAAACAGATAGATCGACTCTTGAGCAAACCAGACTTAAGACACAAACCTGCAAATAATCAGGTAAATTGTTCTCAAAGTCATCACACCCACCTGGGGTGTTGCATTTGATGGAGCATCTCTGGCAGTAAAATACCTTTTCTGTTAAGGCTGTGCTTTTCCATAGCTGTGTGGGAATACACCTGTATTTGGCTAAACCATAAAAGTAATGAAAGATGCACAATGTTCTGGGTCCTTCCCTGCACAGGAAGCTGCAGCCACACAAGCCTGCAGAGTGCTCCTAGGTTGCAAGTCCCACCTTCCTCCTTCCCTACAGCCCCAGTGCTTGTCCCAGGAGCTAAGGAACAAAGAAGTTGTGTGAATAGATAGGATCAAAGCCAGGCTACACTGCTGGGGTGGATAGGGAGGACTGGATGATGTGGGAGTTGGGTGCTTCAGCTGGATGTAGACAGCTGGACCTCGAAGTCCATTCATATGGGGACCCTGAGAGGTGATGAAAAATGAGGCAGGGCAGTTGAAAAGAGAAACTGATGTATGAAGACTGGGCCTTGTTGGAGGCAGGGTTGGAAAGGAAGGGAAACAATCAGAAATTCTGTCTGATTCTCCTGAAAACCCCTTAGCTGCAAAAAGAACAACCTTTTAAAAGCTGATGTGCAGCTTGGTAGGGTCACCATAGTGGTGCTAAACCTTGAAGTATCTTCTGCTGCTGAAGAAACCTAATATTTTTCTTTGTAGATTGAGAGCCATCCCTATCTTCCTCAGGAAGAGCTGATTAAGTTTTGCCAATCCAAAAGGATCTCTGTCACTGCCTATTGTCCCCTTGGAGCACCCAACTGGCCATGGTAAGAATGCTTTGTGAGACTTCTTTATCAGATACAGGTTGGAGTCGATACAGCAATCCAGTCTTAGGATGTGGATAAACCCTCAAAGAGTAAAACTGGTGTAATTAGAAAAATATGTACTAATTTGTTAAAAATTACACACACAGAGAAATCTCTCTATTTACTGTGATATTCAGTCCACTAATT